GTGATTGAACTGAAGAAGTCCTCTGAAGTACCTAGAAAGAAAGATGTAGTCTTACCATTGCAAATACTAGACCAGAAAACATACCTGGAGATGTAGCGTCCACTCCTGTGTTCCACTCATGCTGTTGCTCTGTGGACTGTTAGCTTAGACCATTTGTCAACATCAGCACGTATGGAGTCTCTGTTGTGTGCTAGGTCATGAACTAGTCCTGTGTACATTTTTAAAGATAGCCGGCTGGACCGGGATGTAGCTTTTTAACAGGACTTTCGCCTGGCATATGTGAGGTTCTGGGCGCCACACTCAGTACCACACACACATTTCATCACAAATAGATTAGCTCAGTTATCCTTGCTCTCTCCCTTGTCATGATATCGTCTTCTACCACAAAGAAATAGGGGCAAAGCATTCAGAGAGGTTAGATTACAGATTGTAGCTCTAGCAAGGGACCCGTAGCTGTGTCCACGAAGGGTGTCACATCTTTAATAGGCATAAGATAAGCACCCACCGTAATGAAGCAGACTGCCTCACATGAACAGCCATCATAGCATGCAAACCGAGAGAGGAAAGCTTTATGTTTCATGTCTGTGCCCCCTGTGAGTTGACTGTAAAGGTTTTCTGCACACCCCCCACCCCTGCCAGCTAAAGGGCTATGTCTTTTATTGCTCGTAATTGCAGGTGCACTGCAATTAGGAAAAACTGCATTAGAAATCCCTATGACACCTTGGGTGAAAACCACTTAGGAGCTGGTCTTTGGACCTCTCCAGCAAACAGGAAGCAAACCTGATCAAGAACGAACTTCTGTCTCCTCTTTCTTATTTATGGATCTTAAACCCATCTCTTTCATCATTTTTGTTGGCAGATATGGCCATTCATCTTGTTTTAGTGGAACTGGTTGTGGTAAATACTTGCCTGAGAAAATAATTTCAGTTTCCCTGTAGGGTGATATAAATCCACTGGTGAAACGTTTCTGAACCACGTAGCCTAATTGAGTTTGGAAGGGATAACTTTATTCTCCCCTGACAGCATCATTAGTTCAGAAATTGTCACTCGAGGTTATACAAGCCATGAATTAGGTGCAGTGAATGTTTTGCTACAGAGTACCCACCGCACCGCCAGGGGCTCCAAGGGAGCACAGGTGTGACTGCCGAGAAATGTCCAAGTTGTTCTACAGGTGCCAGAGGCAGAACCTCTATCAGAATTGTCTAAGTTCTACTGATTTCAAGCCCTGTTTTTGTGCTGTTGCTTAGGAGGCCTCAGGGGTGACCATCAGAGAGACTTCTGAGATAAATGTATAGCTCAGTGGTAGCAGGCATTCGCCTACCACTGGGTTCTTTTTTTATATATATAATAAATAATAATTATTGAGTCCCTACACTGGGTAGATACTTTGCTCTCTGATTGAGAATACATAGGTAATAAGACACAGTACCCTGCTCTGAGCAAATTTCAATTTGTAAGAAGACAGAGATGACTCAGATTACTATCTTGGGATGTTGCTAGCATGCATATCTAAACTGATTCTCTCTTCCTATGGAAGCTGATTGTCCACTGAACAGAACAAGGCTCCCACCTGCTTCCTTAATATGAGTCACCATGGGAGCCCAAAACAAACAGGGAAAAGAAGGAGTAGAGCCTGAGGAAGAGGCCTGCAAGATCTAAACTGCAAAGCGTCCTGAGGACTCAACAGACTCGGGTCAGGGCAGTGTGGGGACTTCCAGTGAGAGCAGCAGAGCCCAGGAGAAGGCAGCTGTGGAGCCAGATGGTGTTCTGCCACCTCTGGAGCTATAGAAGGTGAGGGAGAGAGCAGTGGACCCTTTTATAGGACCAGCGGCTACCGTTCTAACACACACCTTAGGTGATTTCAGATAGAACAGGGCTGCTCAAGTAAGAGAAGGGAAGAAGGAAGACAATTTGGAATCCCAACATGTTTACTGCAACGTTTTAAAGCCACATTTACTGGAAATTGAGATTAAGCTTCAAACCATCTAATTTAGGATTCATCATGGTGATAAAGCAGCCAATAGTATTTTTCATTGTCACTGTTTTTATTTGGAGATTTCTAGAGCTTAAACTATAAGTCTGGTATGTCTCAAGTTTTATATCATCTTATATCCGTCCACTGAATTGTCATTGACTAAAGTAGAAAAACCCGGGAATGTTTGTATGTACATAAATATGTAACATCATAGCCCCTGGCAACATACTTAATCATCCACACAACCTTGTTCAAAATTACCTCATTAAGCAAAATGGCATGCAAAAGAATTAAATACACACAGTCTCATCAGTGTTCTAAGAACAATGGTTGTGCATGTACTCTTCGAAGTGTGTTTCATGTAGCTGGGAAAAGTGTGACCAGAACTTACATAGACAAAGATAAGGCTCCTTGTGAAATCAGATTTAATGGCCACTAACAGTAGACTCAAGTCTCAATCATGTCTCCCTATGTGACTACTTACTTGACTGTTCTCCTTTGACCAAGTCAACTATCTCTCATTTTCTTTCATCCATTCTAAAACCACGTATGGGGCCATATGTGTTTCTTGACTCTCCCTATGAAACATCTTTCAGAAAAGTGAAAGGCACTTTGATGCTGACGGAATACTGTGGGTAATTTTTAACTCTTCTAACATTGAGCTTGTTCTTGGAGACCATTTACAATAGCAAGGCAAGAGACTCTTTGGCAGAACTTGCAAGCCTTTGTGCACCTGGAAGTCTTAAGAGAGCATCTGTAGTCACCCCGCTGTGGTTTCCATACAGCTTGGCAGACCACACAAGCAGTCTGGATTGGGCAAGATCAGCTGGTGTCATACGACTTTACACTCTTGCTGCATGTTTGCCAGTGGTCAGGGTCTGAGTGGGATGAATAATATTTGAAAATCCAACATTCACTCATTATTCCTGTGCCCTCAGCCAGTGAGAAGCAGCAGTAAAACAGACTGTGGCAATTACTGTCCCTTTAAAGTGTAATCTACCAATTGTTATATTATTTCTAGGAGGAGAAAATAAAATGTTCAACTGTCATTTGATTTGTTTCTCCAAACCATACAGATGACTTTGGCATTAAAGATCTTTTTTTTTTTTTACTTTTATCTAGTTCATGAACAACATACACACAAATGCACTCTAGTACAAAGGGAAACAATAACCATCCACAAATAAGAGTATTCAATTAAAATATGCATATTACTGCTTAATAAGAACATATTACTAATATCAAAAGTAAAACAAAAGTCATCGGGAAATCTTTCTCTTCTAGCTTTAAATGATAAATCTACAAAGTGTTCTGAGAAGATACTGGAAAAGATATTAATTATTATGATCATATCAGAATTGCAAAGGAATTTCGCAGAACCTGTTCATCCAGGGCAGTCCCTAGGGTCTCCTTCTACAGGCTCACTATGCTTGCTGGCCCCTGACTTCCAGAAACATGGCACATTTAGGTAGCAGAGGCATCAAATCCACCTTTAAGGAATCTACCCACTCTTGTTTCCAGGATCATCTATTCTTCTGTGCTCTTCTAGTATCATCTCTACTGCTTCCTGTACCTGAACAGAGCCATGCAATCCCCTCGTCTATGTGACCGTGGGGGTATCATTTGAAGTCATGGTATATGTCAACTCTTCCCAAGTTTTCTTGCTGTTTCCCTCAGTTAAAATTTCTAGCTTGCTGCCTTTCTAGGTGGGATCCCACTTACCACATCCTGAAGTTACCAGTAGCCTAGAAAACACAGAGTCTGTGAGCTCGTCCCCTGTCGTTCTCGGTGTGTCTCTGTCTCTGTTGCTCTCTCTCCCTGCAGTGGTTATAAGCATCTTGGGACAGGACAGGGTAAGGATTACCACCTTAGCAGTGTTCACACTCCAGCTCTTCTTACCAAATATCAGCACTTCTCACTTGCCTGCATAAGAGCCTCTGCAAGAAGTCCTACAACACACCTTGATGGAAAACCCCCTATGCCTATTCAGACCTCTTTAATTGATACTTGTGATGACCATGCTGCTGGAGTAAAGACGATGCTTTGTGAGCCTGTCTTGCACAAGGCAGTACCCCTCACCCTTTGAACAGATCAGTGTTAAGCACAAAGCCAATGACACAGCGGATAGGCTGCTCTCCTGTTAGGTGAGCTCAACTCCACAACCTCCATCAGAATTACACAGCATCAAGTCAGTTGTGTTTCTTTTTACTACTATTATAGAACCCTTACATTTATATATAATTTATTAACACATAAATAAAGTATGAAATGTGAATCTGAAAATGATATTTCTGTGAAAACTGAGTAAGAACACTTGGAAAGATTTGATAATGTGAAGATACCTTAAAAGTTGTCATCAGATTAAGTCTGAGTGAATCCTGCATGAGGAGGGGCGATCTCCTGCATTTCCTTTACTCATTTTGTATTTTCTCACTACTTTAACTGCTCACTGCTGTTTGCTCCAGTCCATCGAAAGCCCTTCTAGATCACAGCCAAGCACAACACGTAACATGTGACCCAACAAGAGCTATCATCACCCTAGATTTGTCTTCTTGACAAACTGGAAAACTGCGTCAGCTTTCTGGCCCCAACCTCCAACCATAACGAATTCTTTGGTGCTTTAACCAAAATGCTTTGAAACATTGTTTTTTCTTTATAGACTGTAGTTTTCTACTCTTGTCTTTTGTGTCTAGACATTTTGTTTGTTGCTTATTCATTTTAATGTAAATTTGAATTTCTACCTTCTTCCTGTTTTGCCCTGTTATTAAATTTCATACTTCATCTCTGTACTTGCTGTCTCTGCACTTGTTTGGTGTATCTCTTGGCTAGTCTTTTGAACAGGATGATCAAGTCTGCATCATGCATGCATTCTCTCTGCAGCCTACTAACGTTTCATTCAGGCTAACGAAGGAAGGGCTCTAAGGTGTTGGGAAAACAGCAGAAGCTATCACTCTAGCACACAGCACACCTCGGAGGTGGTCATTTGCCTAGTTATGAACTGCATCTTTCTCTGTCTCATCCACAGAGATGCCATGAAAGGCTGCTCCACGCCGTACTTAGCCCAAGAGCCTTTGTTTAAAGCAAGCTCCTGTCCTCAAATCTGGTAAACCCTTTCTAACAACTGTCAATACGCATGTCCAGACAGATACACAGCTAATGTAGTTGATGTACTGCAAGTGCTTGGAAAACGATAACCGGGAGAGAAATCTGCTGTTAGGAGAATTAGCAAAAGAAATTGGGCAGTTTTAATGATAAATGCAAATAGTCAATAAAAATATTGACTCAAGTAAATACATAATAAATATATTGTCCTCAAGTCATGGATTAGAAAAATGAGGTGGTAGGAGGGAGGGAGGGAGGGAGGAAGGAAAAATAGAACAAGAAAGGAAGGGAGGAAGGAAGGAAGGAAGGAAGGAAGGAGATAAAAACTACACAATATCAAACTGTTCCTATAAGTATAAACTGTTACCTTTTCCTGGAAGAGGACTGATAAAACATTCTAAAAGCTTCCAAATTCTTGGACTTTAAATTAATAATTCAATTTAAAGTAATTTAACCCTAATAAACCCCAGGTGTTCTGGCATACACAAAAACATTCATTGCATCATGTAATTGCTAAATATAGAAATTCTGAAAGTTCAGAAACTGAGACTTTCTTAATCTATCAGAGCCTATGTACTGCACTATTGCACACATATTAAAAATCAGGTTCAGAACAGTGGCTTTCATGTTAAATACCACTGACATTTGATTGATACATTTTACATATGTGTGTACTGTATATAAGCACACACACATGTAGATTACACTTGTGTAAGTTTAAATTGTATGGACTAAAACATTTCGCAAGCAATAAATTCCTCTATTGGGTATCCCTTGTGATATTTTCTAACCTGTTTTAGATTCTAAATTTTTCCTAAACTTGAATGCATCTGTGTAAATTGATTTTGTCACATATTAGTTGGAAAAGCTGTTCTATAAGAAACGTGTAGCTGGGCAACTAAGTGACATGCATAATTTAAATTACAAGCTACAATAAGTCTGCATCCATAGTATAATTCATTTTGTTTTTAAAAAGCTCTAAAATATGATTTTTGATAAGATAGTCAAAAAGTATTAGTGTGTAAACAATTATGCTTTAAGTTTTATTGTTTCTTTCTTCTATTATCTGTATTTTTATCTAATGGTTGTCTATTTTATAATTTTAAATAAGAAAATGGGATTATTTGGTTTATGATCTTTCTTAACCCATATAGAATCTAGTAGTCAGTGCTTAAATGTTTAATTGTTCATACCTATATCTTCTTAGTTAAGAAAGTCAACATTCAAAGGACTGAATCCCCTTCCTTCTTTTCTTCAATCTCAGAATTGTTATACATCTAACATTAAAGAAAGTTGTATTCATTCACAGTTTTGCTAGAATCATCTAACATGCTTTAATAAACTTGTTTGCAGCTTTCCTTAGAAGAATTGATTTTTATTAAATCAGGGAAGAACTGTTGGGACAGGCAGACTAGATTCAATTCCTTCTTAGCCACCTTGCAAGTTGAAATACCAGATTCTGTTAGTGAATTGGTAATACATAAGATGAGATCAGTGTCCCTCCATTACCAAATCTCTGTTCCCTCACCATATCAAGCCTCTTCTGCCATGAATTAAAAGTGATTAATTTCCAAGACATTGAAATCCTTCTTACCTCCTTTTGTAAAATTTATTCTTGAAGTGATAATTCTGGTGAGAGAGTTCAGCTCTTGGAAGGAACTGTGAATTTATTTAAGGACTTCTATAAGCCTGGTGTTGTTTAACAGCTGTCAATAACTTCACCAGGATGAGTGGCACACAAAATAATACCCAGAGGCATGTAAGGACATGGATGCAGAACTGAAGGAGGGGAATGGCGAAATCCAGGGGGCAGAGATGTGGATAGAACACTTATCACTGACGGCTGAGTAAAGCGCACAGTTGTGTGCAGAGAGTCTTGACTGAGAGAGCATCAGGTGACAATCCAGCCAAAGAACATGTGTGAAGAAACAGTAGGACTACAGGGACAGAGAAGCCAGACAGTGAATGACTTTGAAATCTAGGCAAACAGTGAGACAAGAATATTTCAATACAAGAGTTGAAGAGATTATGTCTTTTGTTCATCTTTTTATATGAGTATGCTCACATGGTCAGTGGTGTTGATTCCATGCCTAGAACCTAGGCATTTGTCAGATCGCCTAAATCAGTAAGCAGGTACTCACTGGGACATTATTCTAGAATGTGCTTATAAGTCTACAGGAACATCTATTAGTAATGTGGGTGTTTCCAGGACACCCACAAGTAGGAACTGTAATGGAATAGCAAGAACTATGAGGCTGAGTTAAACAGAAAGTTGAAAGTGTAGTCTTGGACTTTTCATGCTAAGGTCAGGCTAAGGTTGGTGCCCATCCATGTAACTTCGTTCATATCACTCTTCAGTTTACTTGCTGAACTGTGTGTGTACTTCCATGTTGATCATAAACTTGTGGAGTCGACTGCTCAGGAAAATGTAGCTTCTTGTGCTACTTACGGGTAAAGCTAAACAGAAAAGGGAAGTGGAAAACTGTTTCTATGTTCCCATCATCCCAAGTTTCACACTGTGGCTGAGAGCCTGGCCTTCCTGTCTATTCTCATGGACTCTAAATGCCTTGTTTCATCTCTCTGCTTTAAGACCAAGAATGAAGTTTTTAAATCAGTTAGAAATCATAACTGTGAGTAAATATGTCTGTAATCTCAACAACTTGGAAGCTGAGGCAGAAAGATCATAAATGCAAGACCATCTTGGCCTAAAAAATGAGATCAAGGCTATCCTGGGCAACTTGGTGAGACTGTATCTAAAAATAAAATTAAGTAAGAGGGCTGAGGTTCCATCTCTGTGGTCAAGTGCTAACATATGCGTGAGGCCTAGGGTTCAGTACCTAGACCTTAAAATGAACACCTTATAAGTTGCTGTTTGGGGGCTTGTTGGTTCTTCTCTTGCTAATTACAGCAAATCTCTTGGAATAATGTGAGAAGGGAAAGGTGTGGTCTGATGAAGGTGAAATTTCATAGTGAGACACACGGAACTTTGTTTAGACGACTCTTGTGTTACAGGTTAAGCTGGTGCTCCAACTTCAGCTCTGTGCCAGGCTCGATTGGTTCAGAAACTGATCACGCTCTTAATTTTTTAACATACTGTCCCTCGCCTACATACTACAAAGGCTTACTTACAGTCTCTTGAGTTTGGGATTGGGTCGAAGTGGCTGTGTTTACCTTTCCTGTAGACTTGTTTCTGCTCTAGTCCCTGTCCCTGAGACAGACAGGAGGGGCTGACATCATTTGACCTTCATGTCGTTCCAAGATTAAGACAGTTTCTCTTCATATGAAATTATCAAATAATTGTGATCAAGCAGTCTTAAGGTGAATCCTACTGGTAAGCTTTTCTTCATTCCTTTTCATTGCTAGAGTAGAGTTTAGAACTTAGTCATGAAAATCTTTCTAGTCCGTCATCATAGCTATCCAAAAATAATGGTCGGGGACCATTCTACATGGCTTCTAGGGCACTGACTCAAAATGCTATTGCAAATGGCTCATATGCAATTTAAAAAATGCATGTTTACATCCCTAGGAGGAGAGAGCAGTGTTCTTAGGCCTTTAATACTTTCCAATAGGGCAAGTCCTCTCAATGGGCACCAACATCGGGACTGGTCTTCTCCACAAGGAAGCCAGGCAGGTTGTTCACAGAGTCTAGATCTGTAAATTTGGTGAGCCACCAGGCACGCATGTTCTTGCTGTGACCCCAGGCTCTTAGGATCTGTCCACTATTAGTTGCACCCAGTGTCCCTTTTTAATCATCGTGGTACACAAAACCAATAGCTTGTTGTGTAGTTGATAAGTCAGGACTACACACAGGCATAGGCACACACCTTCTCATTTCTGATAACTGTGTCTTTGTTATCTCAAACCCCCAGGTTGACCGTGACACTGCTTCACTGTGGGCTTTCAGGGAAGAGTGTTTTTAAGCGATGTCCTAGGACAGAGCTAGTCAGGTTCATCTGTGACCAGAACTTATGTTTAGGGAAGTCTGTAGTACGCCAGATGGTAGCCGTCTTTATGATTGGCAGAAACTTAAAACAAAAACCACAGGAAAAGAACCATGTTCTTTTTTAAGTTCAATTTATAAATTAAAAAGTGACAAGGGTTTCTATCTAGATAAAATGTAACTGAGCCTGGATTTCAAATGACCTTTTATTCCAGTACAGCTGCTTCAGTCTTCTTTTTCAGAATTTTGACCCAAATCATGGTAACATAAAGTTTTAAGAGAAATAGTTCTATCTTGGCCTAGCCTTCTTCTCTCCTTCTACTCCACTAATGGCATTAGTAAATCCCATTTCCAGACAAATTATTTCATTCATTAAGAATAAATGAGTGCTTACACATGTATGTGTGTATGTTAGTAACACACACTATAGTAGCAAATACAGCAAAGAGTAACATCTTTAAGCACAGAAAAGTGCTTTCTTGATGCTAACACCAATTAAATACGTTATTGCCTATTTTGGATGGAGAAAAGGAGAACAACCTTGGTTTTCAGTTCCTTTGTGATTTTCTGCCCTTCACAGCATCAGAATGGGAGTTTCGGCCCTGCGCTTCCTAAGAGATCAGATTTCTTTACTTAAAAGATAGTATCAGCAGCATTTACAACAGTAAAGTCACAGCCAAGATAAAGTTACTCCAGGGATGTGCTAAGAACAATTTTAAAACATGTGCTTGCATCAGTGTTCCAAGCGAGGTTTTAAAGCAGATGCAATTATTGTCTCCGCTTATGGATGAGGAAACAGGTATGGGATTGGAAGTAGATGTCTTCATCCCTTTGGACTGCTATAACAGAATACCCTAATACAACACAAACACTGTTCACAGTACTAGAGGCTGAAAATTCAGGATCAAGATGTCAGTCAATTCCATGACTTGTGGGGATCCATTTTGTGGTTCACCGATGATAGCCTCTTCTTGTGTCCTCACATGGAGGTCCAAAATCTCACTTGGATGTGTTCTGCAAAACTATCATGGGCAGGACATGTGTGCAGATTACACACTGCTTTTTGATATTTTCTTTGGAGGGGAGGAGCTAAGCATAGCCTAGTATGAGATGCTTTCCTTGAATACGGGAAGCTTTCTCTGCCAGCCGCTGAAAGCTAAGCTGGGAACTCTTTTCCAAACAAGAGAAAATGTCTTGCTTCTCTCGCCTGCCACGTTGTCAGTCGAAGATTATACAAGGTATAAAGAAAGCTTATCAATTATGAATTATGGGGTTACTAAACTTTACTAGCAATTAAAGAGTTATTAATCATTCCTTAAACATAACATTCTTTGCCTAAAATGTGGCAGTTTGGGGTTGGATTTCTGTGCTTCCCAGCCAAGAAAAATACTACATGTTAAATTCTACAGTGGCAAGGATATAGACTAGCAAGTCAGACGTGGAGGATGATTAGATCTTAAAGGAGGAGGTTTGACAAAGGGGTTTGAGGCTTTGTGAAAGAGGCCGCCAACAGCTTCTTCTCCTTGTACGTGAGGACCAAAGAATGTACTGTTTGTGGACCAGAAGAAAACCTTCTCAGAAGCAGCAAGAACAATAACAGCAATAACAAAAAAGCACATTCAGGCTCTCTGGACCACGGGAAACACACTTCTCCTGTTGACAAGCACTCAATTCCTGTGTTCTCACTGCACCAACAGCTTGAGATGATAGCTGTGAGTGACGATTTCTGACACAGCCCTTGGTCAAACTCAACCACATTGGGCATCAAGTTAAGGATACAGCTGTAACACAAGTTATTTCCCAAATACTACAGTTTCTCCCCCCAAAAGTCCCCATCTCATCCCTTCTGAAGGAAAAAGAAATTCAATGAATAGGTCAATCACTTTCATAGTAGAGCCTAGAAAATGAGTGATGGACAGCTCACCAGTCAATAACCTGTATTCTCATTAAAAATATCAAATCCCTTATAGCTCCAGCACACTCACCATTATTAAAAACAACTTGGTAGTCAAGATTTTATAAAAGAAAGAAACAAATAAAAAATTCCACGTACTCTCTGTAATAGTATAATAGCAAAATATGTGGAATTAAGATATTTATATATAACATACATATATATTCTATATTCCATGTATATGTATACTATATATTTTATACTTCATGTATCTTAATACACACATACACATACATATACATATACATATTACCATTTGGGAAAAAAGCAAATGGGGGATGGCTAAACAATATTAACTGTTTGAAAGAAGAATGAATAGATTTTTATCTCAAGACTCACAATTGGCTTCTTTTCCTCCATTAACTATGAGGGAGAGACTCCAGTTTGAGCTTCTACCAATCACATCCTCAGAAGTGCATGCTACGTAGTTCAATCCCACCCCAAGCCAAGCACCTACTTGACCGAATGCATTCACATTGTTGTCCTGCAGAATATCTGACACAAATTCTTGCTAGGATGTCTATTCTGGGTAGGGAACCTAGGTGTTGCCTCATAGCTCAGCCTCCGTGGAACGTTTATGGACATGTTTTATGATTTGCTAATGTGTGCTGTGACCCCATCAGTCTGTTTGCAGTGGGGGGGGGGCTGGGAGGAGAGGGAGTGCTTGGGGAGGGAGAGTCATTTGTTTGATGTTTTCGTGGTGGGCGGGTGAGGGAGGGGAGAGGGTTCATCATGATGACGGAATTCAGGGTAACTTAAGGGGTTCAGTTTGGGGGCCTAGGAGGGCAGAGCTCAGTACTAGAGCACATGCCTACTATGTGTGAGGTCTAGGGCTTGCTTCCCAGGACTACACACCCAAAGACAAGGGTCCAGTTTTGACCCTAATACAAATTTCCGCTCTGGTAGCTCAATTCTACTATGGTACAGTTTTCCGTGACTGTGAATTATTTTCTTTCTTTCTTCGTTTGATATCTTTTCTCAGGGGAAATCTCTCACATCCAAGAGGTTAACAAGCCTTGTTCAGTCTTATTAAAAGGATCGTCTTGGTGACACGAAAGCTGAACGGAGCCATCGCCCATACCTTGTAGCCCATTGCTGTTCCCTGGAGCCGAGGGCATTAGACCGAGATGTTGCATGAACGAAGGACCTGGACTGTTCTCTCCTGTGTGCACACTAAGGCATCGCCACCGCCAAGGGACCCTTCGCCACCCCTTCGCCTCCATCTCCACCTGTCGTCTGCTTCCCTCGCCCCTCTTATTAAGCTGGATCTGTGTCTTTTTCCTTTTTAACCAGTTCAAGTGAAGTAAACTTTATTTTTCCCCTCTCCTCTCCTTTTCTTAAGCTTCCGCTAGATACACAGTTCACCAAAAATTCAGTCAGTCACAAACTGGAAGAATTGTAAAAGAAAAAAAAAGTATATATCAATAAGTATACACATGGCTTCACATTTATTAAATAACAAATTAGCACAGAAGGTGTCCTTCCACCCTTGTATCCACAGTCTGAAACAAATGCCCATCTTCGTCTGTTCTCTGGACATTGTCTGTTCATGTTTCCTGCGTTTATTTTTATACCATATTTAAATGAGAAAACACCTTTTACTCCAAATGTATCAAAGTTGACCTCTTCTCTGTAAATTTGTGTATGTTTATATTGTTGTTTTATCTTTCATTAAAAGATGCAGAATCTCGTTGCTTTGGGAGGTTTTGTTGGTGGTGTTAGCTGTAAAGGGAGGTGAAGAGAAAGAAGTCCCAGCCTTGGAGCTGCAGCGTAAGCTGCCACCCTCCAGTTTACCTCAGGTGTGGATGGGATGGAGTCAGGATCAGCACACTGGAAGCATCTCCCTGATGGGCTGACCTGGGATCAGGGAGATGGTTTAAATTCTATGGAAAACACCACAAATCAGACTTCCACATTTGCAGACCTAGCTGAGGAGGACTTTTCAGCAATGATGAAATCTACGCTTGCCTGAAAGCTAATGAGGATTTTAGCTAGAGTGAGGCTTGTGCAGTGGTCTTTTTTTTATTTAAATCATGCTTCTGAGCTTAGTGAAAGTTTCCTGTTTGCCACTCTCTTATGGGCTCTAATAGTGACTTTCCTCATGCTTGTGACAAAATTTCTACCAAAAGCACTTCTGATGGGAGGGCTCTATTATGGCTTAGAGTTTATCCTGGAGGGGAAGGCATAGCAGCAGGGGCGGAAGACAGATGGGACTGGTCACCGTTATATCCGTTATTAGGAGACAAAGGGGGGACAGGAAGAGGAATGGGGTTACCAAATGTCAAAGCCCCCTCCCCAGTGCTTCACTTCCTCTTTTAAGAGTCCACATCCTAATGATTCTACAACACTTCAAAACAGCACTTCATTAGCTGGGCAACAAGTGTTCAAAGAGAAGATTCTATGGGAGATATTTCATCTTCAATTATTGATGAAGAGAAAACTGGCAATTTGTTTGAAGTCACACAATGGTAAATTGAGATTCTAGAAGAGGAGCCTCTCTCAGCCCTCCTTGGTTCCTGGCTGAATCTCATACACCAGACAGATTAAAGAGAAGAGCGCACACGTTTTCTTAACAGAAGCCTTATGTGAGGGGCAAGTGCGTTTGAAAAGACAGACTTGAACCAATGACTCCACCCTACTCTTTCCTTAGCTGGTTTGACGATGTGGAGACTGCGGGAAAGTCTGAGAGGACAAGGGATGTGAGTCAGAGAAGTCAAATGGAAGAGAAACAGCAGGTGCTGGGTGATATGATTCTTCTCAGCATCTCCCTAAATTCTTTCATCCTAAAATACCAAACAGGTCAGGGTGAGGATGACTCAGCAGGCAAGCCTAGTAGCCTGTGTCCAATCCCCAGATCTCAAGTGGTAGAAGGAGAAAACAGACTCTCACTGTTGTCTGTCTGACTTTCACATACTTGACATGCCACACTCCACAGACGTAGAAAGTAAATAAAATAAAAATATTAAATATATATTAATATATAATATAATATTGATATATATATATATATGGGCTGAGGAGATGCCTCAGGGGTTATGAGCACTTGTTGCTTTTCCAAAGGACCTGAGTTCAATTCCCAGCACCCACGTGCTGGTTCACAACCATCCATAACTCCAGTTCCAGGGTAACTGATACCCTCTTCTCACCTCTCAGAGCGCTAATCATATACATGAAGGCAAAACACTCACACAAAATGAAATGAGTAACTCTAATTTAAAAGATATTCAACACACAGGATATGATGTTTTGGCGTAGTGTTACATGTTGCCATCAGCATATAAATCCATGCAGTCTGACCTTAAGACTCATAACTCTTTCTTTTTTTTCATTAAAAAAAGCCACGAGAAAATTCATATTTCACAGAGGAAATATTTTTCTGACTCTCAGGACATTCTTATTCCAATCTCTGGAGTCCCCCATGGACGCAGGTAAAATAATCTCAGTACCTTTCAAGGATGAGATAGTGCTAAAGCAGGCTGGCTTCTTTCCTTTTATCTGTGCAAAGGTATAGCATACCCCAGCTACTATCAAGTTATTAGTGTCCTCTAACTATGTAGGACAATTTAAATATGGAAGAAGTTTTGCCAATATCAGTGATATATCAGCAGTTGGGTCTAGTCTAACTGATTAATACTATCACAAATTGATAATGAATCAGTAGAAAAAATGTACAGATAGGTTAGAATATAAACAGTGTAAACAGCTGGGGAAAATTTGATTATATACTTGTTTGGCTTTTGAAAAAAATACAAAATTCACTGGGTACTGGTAGCAAACACCCTTAATCTCATCTCTCAGGAGGCAGAGGTAGGCAGGTCTTGTGAGTTCAAGGACAGCCTGGTCTATAGAGCAAGGGCCACAGCAGACAAGACATCACAGAGAAACTCTGTCTCAAAAAAACATTTATATTTCAAATTAAGTTAATAGACTTTCTCCCTTAAAATGTGTTATTATTTAGAACAGCCTTGGATAGCCCACATGGAATCTAAGATGGAGCTCTAGGTAATAAGCTGTTACAGGGAGGAAGTTGTATGTGAAATGTGTGCTTCCGTGGGTGCGATGGGTTATTTCAGTGGCAGTTTTCACCATTGTGTTAATCACCTTCATTATCTGTGGCCCTCCATCGTGGGATCATGCAGAAAAGAAAGGCCAAGAATGGCATATGTGTGTGTGTGTGTGTGTATATATATATATGTATATATATATATACATATATATGTATATTTGGGTAACCTGAGTCTGATCCCAGGAGCCCAGTATGAAAATAGAATAACCTCAACTGAACATAGTTATCTTATGTTCTCAAAATTTGCTCTGTGACACTTGGGTGTCTGTGTGATACACATACACATGAGAGACAAAGAGAGAGAGAGAGAGAGAGAGAGAGAGAGAGAGATACATTTAAAGAGTTTTACAGCATTTGAAGACATCCAGGTTTTTCTGGGAGTATGTAAAGGCTTTACCTAGCTTTCAGGAAGCACAGACTAAAGCTTTGGAGGTTTGTTTTATTTTTGCCATTTAGCCCTTGGCAATCCCAGCCTACCCCCAAACTCATCTTTAGTATCAGCTGAGCTATAAGGCAGAAAATAAAAATTTCTTGGAGGTTTCCAGACATAAAACAGCGATTGAAAACGTCTGCCTTCGCACTCTCCTCACAGAGCCTCCTCCCAGCTCACAGTTGTTCCCCTGCACTGCCACCATCCCCCAGTGACTCAAAGTTTCTGTATTCACATTATAAAAGCATCTAGTCCTCCTTGACCCAATTCTTCTTTGCAATGTTGCAATAATGTTTTCAGCAGATCTGGAGGGGAGAAAAATCTACTTATTCTGAATACCAGAAATGTGACCGTGAACTTATCTAAGCTATCAGCTGACAGGAGCCAGTATAAGAAATGAAGGCAGGATGATTCCCAGGCTTCATGACAAGTGTCCCACTTGATCTTGCTCCTTGGGGCTTGCTGGTGTATCTGCCCTGATAGCTGGGTGCGCACTTATTATGTGATAAGTTAGAAATAATTGGGACATTAACTTAGGGGTAAGACTCGAGTACTATGAATCCATTCCATTCATCTCAGTGCAGGGATGAATTGTATCCATACACAAGGGCATATTTGAGACAACACATTGAATTTCCAAATGCTTTGCTGCTGTGACCCATGACAACAACCAGAGAATGCTCTGAGAATTCTCTAGGACATTTACAGGAAACAACCAAAGGTACCACCATTCTGTCTCCAGAGACTTTTAAGAAACAGGTGTCAGTGAAGTGTGTTGAGAATGGGAAAGACAGAGAGGAAAATAAGCTCTTATTTCAACCTCAAGGATCTCAGAGATGTTGCTGTATGACTCTGCACCTGCGACTTTTTACTAAAATTCTTAGTCCCACCAACTCAGTTTGAGAAAAAATGCCAAAAAAATAATGTCCCGCTCATAAACTATTATTAAAATAAGACTAAATCACACCAGGCTCGTGCCCTTGGCTATTTAGGGATGTTTCCTTGGGGCTGAAGTGTAATGTATTTGTAACTTCATTTCCAAATGGCCATTAGTGGCTAAGTAGATGTGAACATTTCTTGATTAATAAATTGATTCATAAATCTTAATGTCTTTATTAGGTTATAAAGCCTTAATCATCTCACTCTTGTTTGGAAATGCAGTAGGTCAGAGCGTGTTTAATATCTTTTAAAGGTTAATAACATCCAACTCTTGTATTGGTTAAAAGGATTAAGATAATGTATGTAAATGACCCAGCACAGTGCTTGGTGCATAACTGGTAGGAAATAATTTTTCTCTTACATACTCCTCTTTTTTTTTTTTCCTCTAGGGAGACATCTTTATAAAAAAGATACGGAAAGTATCCCCACACTCCATTTTAGTTAGAATGAAGTCAAGGAAGGTCAGAAGCAGATAGAGTCAGGACACCGGAGGTCTTGGGCATGCAGGAAACTGTGATACAGGTTAAGAAATTCCGCCACAATAAAGCTGTAGAACCAAAAGGGTGACCAAAGGGGAATCCTTAGGTCAGTTAAGAGAATTGCGTCCCAGAGTAAGAGGAGATTCCAGAAGCCGATGCTTGGGAAATGGAAACTTTGCCAAAGATATCCATGGCCTCACCAATGTGTAGTCCGAAACTCCAGGGGAGTTTGACCAGTATCTACTATGACAGTAAGTATAAGATATGGGTGCCATCACCTAACTAAGAAACTAACCAACTCAGTGACACTGCAAAGGACGCAGGATCTTTTTGACAGGTAGGTACTTGGTCTTGCAGATAAATTAATTTTAAAGCAGACGCAGAAAGAAACTCAAGGATAATTTATTGGAATTAGAGAAACACAGGATAGGCAAGCAGGAACACTCAGTCCCTGCTAGGAGGAGGGAGAATGAAGAAGCAGAGAGAAAGGTGGGTTTTTTTGATCCAGGAGACAAAGCAGGATGGAGATTTATCAGGGGAAACCTGTACTTGGCTGCCTCCAGGTAGGGCCTAGAGAAAGTGAGCAAGAAAGCACTGAGCAGGGGTCCCAAGCGTGCTGAGGATTTCAGCAGGTGTAAGAGGAAACCGGACGCAAGTGAGAACAGATCAGGAGACACACTACGAAACCCATTTTAGGAGTTTATTAAGCGAAAGACACGTGGGCAGGCCTGAGGATGTTGGTACAGGAAAGAGGGGCATGGAGCGGGCGCGTGCAG